TCTCTCTCTCATTCTCGCTCTCTCAAATAAATAAATAAATCTTTAAAAAAAAAAAAAGCAATGGGCACAAAAGGTGTTTTGGTGACTCAAGTACATGCGCTGTTAAACTGAAAAACCAAATCTTTCCTTTTAAACGATTGGAAGAAAAGCTTTAAGTAAATACAACATATCTGAATCGTGATAATCATAATCCATGTGATAATTAGCAAAGAGCAGAAATGATATAAAGTGTTTATATCTATTTTATTCTTTTCCGGCATACCTCATCTGTCCTGTGTTTGCTGGGTTGTTGAGTTATTGAAGTCTTTTTCAAATCATGCCTAAGCTTGTAAATTTCTTCATCTTCTTTAGACACTCTATCTGTAAATCAAAGACAAGAATTATGAGCATTAGCCTATGCTAACAAGGTAGAAACAGAGTTAGCCACATTTCCTCCTTTTGCAATAATAACCAGCTTAAGAGCATCCAAGGCAAAACCAGCATTTTATAATTACCATCAGCTGCAATTATGCAAGAAGCACACTTTAATGTGTATGGGGAAAAAAGCTATCCAGCACATTTTGCAGTGCAGATTTATCATGCTATAAAAAGTTCAATGGTATTCAAACATACCGGCTGTTATGTTAACATAAAAAAAATTCTTTTAACTAACTTATCAAATTTAAATAGAATACTGGATACAGAAAAGCAAAAGTCTTATAACTTACTATGTGTGTCAATATATCTTGCTTTGTCTTTTTTGCCACCAAAAAGAGCGGCAGCTGCTTTCTTAAAGAAATTCTTAGCCGGGCTTGACAAGTGGAAGTCTGGAACTGTATGACAACAGCTAGAAGAGAGTCTGTCTGGGGTGAAGCCCTGTGGAGTGTCAGAAAAGACTTTCAGTAACCAGTTGGTTGAAAAAATGTGATCAATAGCACATAATAAGACACAAGAAACGTGCCAACCTGCAAAAAAAATTCATGTCGAATGATGTCATCCAAACTGGGACGATCCTCTGGATTCTTGGACAACATGCTAGCTATTAAGTGCTTAGCAGGAGCCAGCAATGAAGATGGCATTGTATACCTTGCTTCTCTTATGCACCTGTACGTTTCTTTCAGATTTGTCGTTTCAAAGGGGGGTCTTCCTAGTAACATTGTATACCTGTGTGCAAGAGAACACTTCTTTAGGAATGGTCATAAAGCAGCTCTTTTTGATTGTTAAGTTCTAAATACAAATTTGCTTTTTGATCATTTTGGTGCATTTACTTACATTACACAACCTAAGGCCCAAATGTCTGATTCACAGCCATGTCCTTGCTTGTTGAGGACTTCAGGAGAGAGATAATTTGGGGTACCACATATTGTTCTGGAAAAACAAAATATGAAGATCTCATTAAGAACTGTCCCACTGTTTACACTTAGTTCTCTAGATAAAACCTTAAAAGTACTGTACTGAATTCCTATTTAGAAAAATTTGACTTTTAATTTTTGGCATCTCAACAATTAACATTTGACCAAGTGACTTAATAATTTTTTTAATACATGTGTAATTTTTTTCAGATACATGACAAAGTGTTTTTAACCAACTGAGACCAAGTACAGCATAGCACTTGTGTAACATGTCAGGCAAATATGAGACAAATTTTCATAATCAACTCCTAGGCATAAGGTACTCTGCCTAGTTCATAGTGGGCACTTACTGTTTCCATAAATTAATATTATTGTGATTTGTGGTTGTTAGCATCAATTAACTTTCTCCAAAACATTAATTGGAAAAAAAAATAAGGGCATATTTGATCGCCATAAAATCCTGTCAGGTTGTATCTTCCTGACTCTTACCTCCTCCTGTGTTCCAAGGGTTCCAGCCTGGCTGCCAAACCGAAGTCCCCGACTTTTAATTCCATGGCTTCATTAATAAAAAAGTTCCCTGGATGATAAACAAAACAAAACCTGAATACCCTTGAAAAGATGTTCTAACCAAATACACACACATCCTCTTTGGAGGCAGGCAGTCAGGTGTTTACTATTAAAGTCACCGATTCAAAAAGGAGATTGCATAGGCTAGATCCCAATTAAGAACATTAATACGTAAGAAGGGAGAGAAGAAAAGAACACCTTTCTCTAAGGCAAAAGCCAGTGTTTGGAATAAAGGGCTTACCTAGTTTGAGATCTCTGTGTAAGATTTCTTGTTCATGAAGGTACTTCAGTCCAGACACAATCTGCCTGAGGTAGTATCGGACTTCTGGCTCTGTCAACACCTTCCTTGCTTTCAAGATATGAGCCATGGACTAGGAAGAGGAGAAGGGAAAAAGAGAATGTCTCAAACAAAGTTATCAAAATCAGTAGTTTCCTTTTGCAGGTTGAGTGATGAAAGTTAATAATGCAATATAATAATTGCCACCACAGCTAAAATCCCCAATAAAATGCAATTTGAATCCCACTTCAGTTTGGGGGGAAGTAAATGGACTCAAACAGGAGTTAAAGCTTACCCTTCTACTGCAGTATTCCAGGAGAATGTAAATATTTTCTTTGTCCTCAAAGTAGTGGTAAAACTGCACTACATGCTTATGATGAAGGATTCTGTGAAGCTCTATTTCTTTGTCAATCTGCAAGAAAAAGCAAGACAAGGCTGATGAGCCTTCTGTCACCTTCTGTAAGCCAGTTGCTTACACATGCAGAAGACATTTTCTTAACAGGGAAGGGCCATCCCTGCACACAAAGAAAATACTTTAGACAACAGTCATACACACCTTTTCCCTTTGATGAGGTTTAGCTACTCTGCTGTGAGGAATAATTTTTGCAGCATAGACTTTGTTGTTTGTCAAATCTGTCATCTCGTAACATTTGGCAAAGCCACCCTGAAACAAAGCCGAGACAGCATTGAGCGTGGCAGAAAAATGGACAGCAGATATTTATAAAAATATTTCAAAAATTAGAAAGAGAAGCAAAATTACGGGGAAGTAAGGCTGGACAGACGTATGCTCTGTACTTTTTAAAAGCTCCTTCACGAAAGGAAAGGCTTTCCTGAAAACAGTAAAACAGTTCTCCTTCTCCCTTTACAAAGAGGAGCTTTATGGAGGGGGTTGGGATCAGGCAGATGAAAAATAATGTCTGAAGAGACCTGTCAGGAAAATTCCCTGGGGAGCAGGTGGAGGAAGCTAGGGGCTGGAGTTAGAAAGCCCTCGCTTCTGGCCTCAAGATCAATTTCTTTGGGCTGCGGGAGGCACTCAGAGCCCAGGCTAAGGATGTAAAGCCGATCGGGGCGCTGTCAGCGCACAAAAGCCAGAGCAGGGCAGGTGAACACCCAAGTCCCGCCGGGATCGGAGGCCCCTGAGAAGCCAAGACGCTGGGACTCAGGGTCCAGCCGGCTCGGGGGCTGCCCGGGCAGACCTCCCTCCCGTCCGGCAGCCGGGCGCCCGCCGCTCATCACCTTTCCCAGCACTTTGCCCCGGCAGTAGCGCTTCCCCGTCGTGGGGTCCACGATAATCCGCGAGATCTCAGCCCCAGAGTGCGAGTGGTGGTGATGGTGGTGCGGGGCCGCCGGCTGCCCCTGCGCCTGGGGCTGCGGCGGCTGCGGCTCCTCGGGGGGCTGCTGCGGCCGCTTCTTCTTAGAGTCCCCGCCACAAGCCTTGCCCAGCGCCTGCTCGCACATCTTGGTGCTAGCGGCCGGCTGGTAGGTGATAGTCCGCAAGAGCTCCATCGTCGCCTCACCGCCCGGCACTGCCTGCTGCCACCTCCGAAGCGCGGACACACGTCCGAGCTGGCCCTTGCCCTCGAGCCCCCGCCTCCACCAACAACCCGCGCCTGACGTTCGCGTCCACTTGTGAGAGTGCGAACGCCCGGCCAAGTCTTATATACGGGCCAAGAAGAGGGGCGGAGAATCGAAACGGGATGCGACGTCACGGGCGACGCCCCGCCCACCGGCCGCCGCAGCTTGTGAGGCCCGTCGCGAGGTCGGGACTGGCCGGGGGCGTCCGGCGTGCGAGCGGCGTGTAGACAGGGACGGGCCGGCCTCGGGGAGGGCTCGCCGCAACGGGCAGGCCGGCAAAGGCGTCGGGTCGGACCCGGGACCGCCACCCGTTCTTCGAATGCTCCGAGGTTCTGGGTTTGAAATGGAAACCCGAAGGCTGGCACCCGGCCCTACCGCCTCCCTCAACTCCGCCCTCGCCCCGCCCCACTCGCCGGGTGTCCCCGCGGTGAGGTGTGCGAGCCCAGCCGGGCGCTCTGCTAACGCGGGTCCCCTCCCCCGCGCGGTCCTTCCTGACCGCCCCGCAACCTGACGCCGCCAGTCAGGTGTGACTGTGTCCAGAGTCCACTGCACAGGCACATGAGGCCTCACTCGGGCCGCCTGGAGGGCCTCGGTGCTGCCGCCCGCCGGCCCCGCAGCCACCCAGCCCTGCTGCCCCGCGTTTTTACCCCACCAGCTCGTGTCTAATGGGGGCTGCGGGGTGGCCCTGCCAGTGAAAGGCAAGGGTTCGCAGAGCTCACCGCCGCTTCTGAGTGAGCCGGACCCAGGCCCGGGCCTGACGTAGCCGAGTCCGCTTAGGCCTGTTTGGCCTCTGCCCATCACGCTAGAGCGGGCCTTTGCAGGAGCTCAGGCCCTTAACCTTGGAGAGGGAGCCCGGGCCCTGGCGAAGTCTTTCCCCTTCAGGTTGCTCTAGGACTGGGAAGCAAGGGCGTCCTCTCGTGGGCTCTTCCAGAAGTGCAGGCACTGGTCTGCGTGGGCAGCGGTTAACGACGACGCGGGCCTTCTTTGACAGTAAGTGGTGTTAAAAGCACTCCTGGTGCTAATCATGGTTTACAGTCGAAGTCATCTCTCACTTCTCATTCGGAAGGGGTTATGCACAATGCGTCCTTTAATGGCTCAGGAAGTCACGTGGCTGCCCTGGTGCTGGGGGAGGGAATGCAAGGCCTTCTCCCCTGCAGGGGTCTTGGTAGGATGAGGGGAGGAACCGAGGCCGATGAGCTACAGCAGGGCTTAGTTCCTAGTCCCAGATTTCACTCTTCACTTTGGCTGACCTAGGAACACCTTTTCATCTTGGTCTAGAGGCAACAGTGTAACATTTCTTGAGCGCTTAGGTGCAAGGCACCACGTATAGTTTTCTGAAAGGCCTTCCTTCTGTCGTCCTACAACAATTCTGGCTGGGAAATATTGCTGTTGCCATTTTACAGAGGAGGAAACTGGCGTTTAGTGAACTGTTCTATGTGTATGTTAGCAGACCATCCCAGCTATGTTACTGAGCAGTAGACACATCTTTTTGTCTAAGTTAACAAGATGTGGTAAACCATTTTTTGATACTAAATGCCAATGCTAGTTCCATTACCGGGATAAATGAACCCCTGGAAGGTACACAGAAAAAGGGTTTCCTCCAGTCCACTCTCAAGTCTAGGTATGCACGGTGTCAATGAAACAAACATTTTCAGAGACACTCTGCGTCAAACGCTTCGACCTAATGGAGGAACGAGGCTTCACCAGGCATTACTGAGTAGAAAGGGAAAGCCTTTTTGAGTCTTTCAACAGGTCAGGGCAGGCACAGGCATGTTTCTCCTAAGGGAAAGTAGACTTTACTCCCAAGATGATCAGGGCCGGAAGGAGGGTAGGAGGGGTGGGGGTGGAAATGAAGATTTACATAATCCTCCCCTTTTAATAACCCTAGGGGTGACCTTTGCTCCCCAGATGGAGGCAAACCTATTCCTTAGCACGGAGCAGGCTCGCTGGTGAGAAAAGACCACCTTAGCTTCCAGAGCTCATTTTACACCACACCTTTACTTTACTGATTGATAATGAACTCTTTCTCTCTATTTGTTGATGGCCTTCTGAGAGAAAAGGACTGTGAAGCACAGATGGTCAGGATACTTTTCATTATTATTTCAGTTCTTTGGTTACCGTATACCATGGTCTATATTTTTGCCAAATGTACTTCAGCACTCGGTAGACTATCGAACATTCCATATGAAATTCAGGTCCACCCTCCAAAACGTTCCGGGATTTACTTACTAAAAGATGAACACTGAATGTGTGTTCTGAGATCCTCGGGCCAACTGTGGAAATCGGATTTTTCGGTTTGTGGTGCCATCGCGTGGACAGAACCAGGATTGCAGGGTATGGAACCCAAAAGGAAGGAAGTATACTTGCCCATGGAGATCATTCTTTAATTACAAAATATTATTTCTCTGTAGTTCCATAGCTTTCATGCACACACAGTTAAAATCCCAGTATGATTTCTAGTGACACCTGGCAAGCTGATTCCAGACTTCCTAGGAAAGTGTAAGTGATCCAAAATTGCAAAGTCCCTTTAAAAGAAGAAGGTGGAAGGCCTTTCTTTACCAGCTGTCGGGACTTATAATGAAGCTGTAGCAAGTAAGAAAGCACAACCTTCTCACAGGGATCAGTGGAAGAAATAGAATAAAGTGTCTAGAAATAGGCCCACATTATATGGAACTTTGGTATATGACCAAAGAGTCATGACAGATCAGTGAGGGAAGGAGGGACTGTTCAGTAAATCGAATTGGAACCCGTGGTTTATCCATATCAAAACAAAGTAAAATCCCCATCTCCCACTGGATGGGTTTTCCAGGGCTGCCATAGCAAATTACGATGGACTGAGTGGCTTAAAGGACAGAATTTTTTCTCACATTTCTGGAGTTTAGAAGTCCAAGATCAAGGTGTGGGCAGGCTTGGTTTCTCCTGAGACCTCTCTCCTTGGCTTGCAGATGGCTGCCTTCTGGCCGTGTCCTCACATGGTCGTTCCCCTGTGCACCAGTGTCCCTGGGGTCCCCTCTTATGCCCAAATTTCCTGTAATAAGGACGGAATTTAGACCGCATTAGGGGTTCATCCAGATGCCCTCCTTTAATCTTAATTAACCTCTTTCATGGCCCTGTCTCCAAATACAGTCACATTCTGAGGGACTGAGGGTTAGGGCTTTAATATATGAATTTTGGGAGGACACGGTTCAGCCCATAACACACACTATATACAAAAAGTCTACTCCAGATGGAGTAGGACTTAAATTCAAGAAGAAAACAAAATAATAGTAGCAAGTATAAGCAACCAAGTTTCTGAGTACAGGGTAGGGAAAGATTTTTTTTTTTTACTGAGATATTAGTCAGTTAGAAACTTAAATTTAATATCTAATTCTGAAAAGTAACTTAATGAATATAAAAAGTTAATTTTAGGATATAAACATTAAATATGTTAAATATCTTTTATCTATACTTTTTTCCAACAAACAAGATTTTCAAAATCATTAATAATCAGGAAAATGCAAATCAAGACTTTATGTTACGTTCATTTTGACATACTGTCATTTTAAAAATGAGTAAAACTAGCAAATCCTGCCAGTAATCTTCGATGAAGGTTTAAATGTTTCTCAAAATATTTGTTCAAGACTTTTATTCATTCATTGGTCTGTTTCTCAACCTACTTACCTCCCCACCTATCTATTGTCTAGACATGGTAATAACAATGAGAGCAACGTTCCCCACCCCACTCATTGTTGCATAAAGGGCAAGTGTTAATTTACTGCAGTGGACTTGGTGATCTCCCTCTACTGGTACAACAGGATAATGCCGCTCAATGCTGTAAAGCTTTTCAGGTTGTTTCAAATGCAGCGGTCCCTTTAAGTCAGATCCACCAAGTCACTGCAATGTGCAGCTTCAGCAGGAGTAATCTCACTTTTGAATCTATCTTCAAGGGCGCATTTTCTAAAATCAATTATTTAAAAATGTATAAATGACAAAATTATTAAATAAAGGTAACACAAACAAAAACAAGCTTCTTAGAAATGGAAAAACCTGGGTCAGTGACAACTCCAAAAAAATTTTTTTTGAACAAAATTTTCCTCTCTTCCCCTTTTGAATTCTTGCAGTTTGCTTATCCTCCACACATGTACTTCTGAATTTCCTTTTAAGACCATTTCTTGGGGCGCCTGGGTGGCTCAGTCATTAAGTGTCTGCCTTCGGCTCAGGTCATGATCCCAGGCCCACGTAGGGCTCCCTGCTCCGCGGGAAGCCTGCTTCTCCCTCTCCCACTCCCCCTACTTGTGTTCCCTCTCTCACTCTGTCAAATAAATAAAATCTTTTTTTTTTTTTAAAGAAGACCATTTCTTCAAATGTATGCTTGAAAAATAGTAATAGTGAAGACATTTTTCCTTGATGCTATAGAGACCTTTTGAGTAGATGAAGCTGCTGCCTTGGCCCCTCTGGTGAGCTCAGTAGTCCTCTAAGTTTTAGCAACTTGGAACCAAACCCTCTGGTACAGCGCCCCCCCCACACACACCCCCCGGGGCACCAATACACAACCTCTGAGCACCTGACAGTCTGTAGCTGGTACCACTGAGTCTGCATGCCATCAGAAGTGTTAGACGCTGTTCCCCTTTCACTGATTAACTGCCCTCAAGTTCCATTAAAAATCTTTGGGCCTGGCAGAACCCTCAGAGTTGTGTTTTGGACAAGAGTCTGCCTTCTCTCCAGGTGGTTGGCCTCCTGAATAAAGCTCATATTCCTTCCCAATCACAACTTGTCTCTTGAGGATTGACTTTTCCAGAGACCGGCAGCCAGACTTGGGTTTTTGGGTAACACTGAGACTCTTGAAAGTGTTCATCATAAACTCCACAGTCAAATCCCATTTGGGATGCCTTGGTGGCTCAGTCGGTTAAGCGTCTGCCTTCTGCTCAGGTCATGATACAAGGGTCCTGGGATCAAGCCCCGAGTCAGGAGTAACAGGGAGCCTGCTTCTCCCTCTGCCTGCCGCTTCTCCTGCTTGTGCATGTGCCCTCTCTCTCTCTCTCTCTCTGTCAAATAAATAAGTAAAATCTTCTAAAAAATTAATTAAAATCCCATTCAGTTGGAATTTTATGTGTGAATCAACATTAACCCCTTTAAAACATGTAAAAACATAAACCCCTTTAAAAACATTTTCTTGTAAGGAACCC